CATGATGTTAAGGATGGTGTTGTTACTACACAGTAACTCAGCAGAAGAGCTTGCTGGGCTCCTTCCTGAAGGGTCAGGACCCTTAGTGATGGAGGCAGAACAGAGTGCCCTCTGGTCTGAAAAAGCAGCCCATCTGCTGGGGGGCAGGGGCAGGAATTTTCTTTTTTATTGAGATAAAATTCACATAACATGAAATTAACCATTTTAAAGCATATAACTTGGTGTCATTTTGTATATTCACGCGTTCTGATGAACATTAGTTCACCTGTTAAGGTAGGAACATAAAATCTCCTATAAAATTGGCTTCTGCATCCCACGACATTCCACACAAGCTCACTACCCCTGAGCTACATCCCCAACCTGATATTCCAAAGAAACAAACCTGGAGTGTTGTCTGGCATTAGCCCTCTGGGCTAATGTTCCAAAACATTTTCATCACCCCAAAATAAAACCCTGTTAAGCAGTTGCTCTCTTTCACTCTCCCTTTCCCCAGTTTCCAGTAATCACCAGTCTGCTGTCTGTCTATCGATTTACCTATTTGGGTAATTCATGTAGATGGAACTTTACAGTATGTGTTCTCTTGCAACTGCCCTTCTACCTGACAGGTTTTCTAGTCATTTATGTTACAGCCTGCATCAGTATGCCATTTTTTTATGACTAAATTGTATTGTATTGTATGGATAAGCCACATCTGTTTATCTGCATGGGGATTTTAAAGGCGCAACTCCAGCGTCCTAATCGGTCTATGTTACAAAGATGGTGCTGCCATCATAAAGGCAGGATGCTGACAAACCTCATCCTACTATGGTCCGGAGAGATCTGGAGAGGAAACATGATTGAGAATTCCCTGGCTAGGATCAGAGGCCAAATCTCAAATGTCAACATCAGTGAGTGTGGAGGGCCAGTAGTTAGACACTGGGAGGATCATGGCAGCCTGCAGGGTCTAAAACAGCCAGATTCGAAAATGTTTAAAATCACACTGTTGACCAAACAGAATGTTCAGCCCAGCTACTTGCAGTCATATTAGTCGCTGCTGTGTTCATAACCCCCGCCAGGCTTTGGCATTTTTACAAGATGCTTTGGCAAATTGAATTTCAAGGTCCAGCAGAGAAGTGGGTGGGTTCCTGAACATTAAAGAACATTCGATCCACCCTACACCCTAGATGTTACAGGTGTGGGGTGTGCTATGACCGGTCAGATAAGACTGCCTGCTGGCTCAGCTAAGGAAGAAAAGCAGCCCTGATACCAGCTTAGGGACTGTTCCAGAGACTCAGATGGCCTTCTCCTGACCAGCTGAGACAGAAACAGCTAATTCTTCACTCACTGTTGTAACCGCCACAGTAGGTTTCACCTGAAGAACCTAGAATTGTGGATGACTATATCAGAGGACAAGAAAGTGTGACTTGTGGACAAGGAGTCTAATGAGGAAAAAAATAAAGTTATAGTCTTGTTTAAATTTTATTTTAAAGAGCAAAAAACAATAAAAATAGTTATACAGAATTTCAAAACAAGATAGTAAGAAATGAACAGTAGTTAATATTTTGCATATTATCTTCAAAGTAGTTGCTCAGATTACAAGATATAGGCATGCAAGACTGATCAAACAATATAAGCACAAACCATTCTTTTCAATGAACCAATAGAAATTAGTAGTGTAAGTGTCTTAGCTATTTTGTATGTGTATATTTTTTTCTTTTCCATGCGTTCTTTTCTCCTTTCCCCCATACCAGTTGTTCAAAGTTATGCTCTTATAAGGTGTTAAAATTCTGTCTTATAAAGTTGGTTTCTATACACATGACATTCCATGCAAGCTCACTACCCCTCAGCTACATTCCCAACCCTACATTCCAAAGAAATAAATGTGAAGTGTTGTCTGGTATTATCCCTCTGGATCTTGTATTTAGAATCATACACCCCCCGGGGAGCTGTTGAATCAGATTCAGGCCCCACCTCCAGGAAACTGGTGGTAGTGGCTCAGCAAAGGGGCCCAGGAATCTGCAGTTTGCCAGACTATCAGGAAGTCATCCACAGGTCACACTTTGACAAACCCCACTACTCCCGTAGTCACTCAGTCTGAAATTGTAACTGTCAAATTAGTGCCTAGTTGGTATTATTTGTCTAACTCTCTGAGTCCAGATTAGAAAATCCAACTGACCTAAAATAGAATATCCTATTTCTTTTATTTTCCACTCAAAGAACATTACTGAGAATCTTCAATTCCTTCAGGTATATCTATAAATAAGGCAGATATGAATTCCTCTCCTGTAGCTTTTTGTTGGGATTATTGGATGGAGAAAATAATCACCTTCTTTATACAGAGAAGACTGTTAAGGTGGAAACATAAAATCTCCAAGGACTGGGGCAGTTGGTAAACATTTTCCACTGTTATTATCATGTAATGAGTCTCCTCAACAATATCACTGTTGAGTATTTCTCACCAAAGCTGTGCGTCCATACTACTAGGGACAAGGAACTTACTATAAGATAAACAAGGCCACTCAGTTCTCGGATGTAAATTTTCCTTCCCTGAAACTTCTGCCCCTTAGTTCTTACTCGACTATATAAGACTTGTAAAGCCTCTTCCCACAGACAGCCATTAAAGCATTCAAAAATGTATTCCACCATTCTGTTTGGTCTTCTCAGGGGAAAGATCCTGCCTTACAGTCTAATTTTGAGTCCCCTCCCTATTCTGGTTACTATACTCCTCTATGTGATCTATCTATTCCATCTTTGTAAAAATTTAAAAATACAATGGTAGGGTCCAACCAGTCATTTATATGTGTCTTTATGAAATGTGCATAGGCCAGGCTTTCTGTTAGCTCAGGGGGGTAAAGTCCACTCAGAGAAAATAATGACCTCTTTGGATGTTATCATGGTAATGTCACATTGTCAAGCTATTGGCCAAGAGAATAAGTTCAGCAGACCATAACGTCACAGGGATCTTCACGAAAAACATGGCTTTTTCTCACCATTGTTTCTCTGAATTTTCTGCCAGCTACCAGCAAATTCCTTTTCAACCCTTTTTTATTAAGATCAAATATTGCGAACTCCTAAACTTATTTTTTTTTCATTTCTAATTATATTTTCTCTTTTCTGATCCCCTTATATTTCTTATATAAAGATTTTTTCATATGGGGAGCGGTGACGCTAATACTACTAGATACATACCATTTGTTGCTCAATTGTATTTCAGATCTGATATGTCAGTGCCATAGAGTCAAAAGGCCAGCAAAACCATCTAGATGAGCTCCTACCCATTTACGCATTGTTTCCTCTCAGGAGGAGTTCTGACCTCTTCACCTTTCCTATGTGTCTTTCACCTGATCTCATGACATTTTCAGGCCTGTGTTCACCTCATCTGTTTCCTACAGTGACCTATAACATGTGTCTCCTGCCAGAGCTACAGTTGTAAACAACTCCTGGTAGATTCAGGAGCAACTCATAGAAAAACCGGAAATGTTCTGTCTACTAACTCCCAAAAGCAAAGATGCCGACCCAGAGCCGGACACACCCTGTGACTGCAGGTTTAAACCACAGACCCAGAATCCCTCTACTGGGTTGTGAGAGCCACTGCATTTTACTTTAGATGGAATTAAACTTTTGAATAATTAGTAACACCCAAGAGTGTCAGCAAACAAGAATTGAAGACTTTTATTCCACAAAAGACAGAAGTGGCCCTAGAATTAGAAATCCTAGAAGTGAAAATCATCTCAAAGACCACACAAGCCTCACCTTCTCTTATTATTCAGCTGAAGGGACTGGGACCCTGAGAGAATGCGTTCGGAGCTGAGGAAAGACAGGAATCCAGGGCTGCTTACTCAGAGCTAACCCTGTCTTTCAGGTCTCACTATTTGACCTTACACCATCCGCCTGTCCCTTAGCCAGTATTACAGTCATTGGGGTGCCAGGCAACAAACCATTTTAGAAAGTATATCCTAGAAACAAAGTCAGACAAACAAATGCCATCTGGGTGCTCAGGAATCTAGCCATTTGCTGGCTTCTCTCCTTTTAGCGCTGGTTACAAAAGGAATGGCTCCAGAGGGATAATATGTTCCTATTTTTCCTTCTAATCCAGGACACCTGTCCCTTCTTTGGGGAATGTAGAATATTTGGGGCCTCTTCTCAACATGTGCCCAACCACCTGTTGCCCATGCCTTTCCAAATTGGCCTCCCTGGGTTGGGGCCAGCCAACTGGACCCCCACCCACCATAAAGTGTGGGCAGTAGCAACACAAGTATCCTGAATTTGAAGAGTCTGGAGTCTCTGAGGAATTAACAGGTCAAGACAGTGCTCTCAGGCTGAATATACACCATGACACGGCCTCCCTTTATAAGAGACAGCTCTGGTAACTCATAAGTCTGTCATAACTCTTTGAAGAGAAAAAGAAGGCTGGAGTTCATCAGTCTGTCATTTTCTTTCACTCCCACTGCCATTCATTCATTCAACAAATATTTATTGACCACCTGCTATGTGTCATTCACTGCCAATCTTCCACTCCTCCATTCACCCCCCAAATATGTATGGACCTCTGCTAAGAGTAAAGTGCCATGCTGGATGCTGTGGAAGATATAACCATGAATAAAGCTCCGTTCCTACCCGGAAGGAGCTCTTGACTTGGTTGGGGTGGTAAATCCACACACTGTTGTGACTTAAGGCTGTCTGTATGAAGAGAAATACAAAGAGCCATGGAACGCAGAGAAGACAGAAGTCACCCCCAACTGGCAGGTAAGAAAGTTGGCGAGAGGATGCCTGTGAGCCCTGACCCTTGAGGAACAGGTAGGATTCGGACATGCTGAAGAAGTGTACGGCTGTTCAAGTTGCTCTTCAGTGTCTAGGGGAAAGAGGCCAGCAAAGAGCTGAGAATGCTGAGGGGTTCTCGTGCCTGACAGCTGGCATATAGGACACATGGGCTGCCCAGGGAGAAAACTGAGGCTGTAGATGGGGTTGAATACTGGTACGTTTGAAAGGTCTGAGTCTTTGTTATTTTCCTGGCCCCTTAGGTTCTGAGGTTTGGCACCCCATCTGCAAACAGGCAGCCCGAGCAGAAAAAAAGTTAAAGGTAAGCAAGCTGGCAAGGACACCAGACCAGCAGTCTTACGTGTCCACATTTTGCTACAGTTTCCGGGAGCTGTGCTTATTCCGGTCAGTGTTCCTTAGACTGCCCACTCCCAAATATCTGCCTGTCTCTTTGGGTATCCTTAATGAGAATGGCTGGCTAAAGGGGTTTGAGGGAGTTAAGACACTGGATGTAAAAACATTTTGAAGACAGTGGAGCACTGTATTCATGTGAGCTGTTAAGTGTGTCTGTATCCAGCAAGGTTATCACCATGCTGATGCTGACCCAGATGGCGGCTTCTCTGAGATGTTCGTGTCATGATTTCCCCCAAATCTAACATCATTTATTAATAATTATAGTTATATTGTCACAGTAACTGATAGTTTACAAACCGTCTTTACAGCCTCTGACTGATTTGATTCCGTTAGTCCCTTAAGGTAGATGGGGCAAGTTTTACCTCCAACTTGCCTGTGAGAAAATCAAGTCTAAAGAGAGTGGTGATTTGTCTGCAACAACACAGCCAGACAAAAGCACTCCCCGTGTCCCTGGGCACACACAGACTAGCTGAGCCCCTAGTCTTTCTGAATTACTGTGTTCTGACAGATACCAGGAAGGCCTATGCCTCTGGGTCCCTGGTACTGCAGGAAATGGGTGAAGTGCCCCAGGCTGCAGGGGTGAAGCCCTGGATTCTTGATGCAGTGGAGGGGGACACTTGGCGTGTGTGACCTTCAGCATGCCTTTACACCCTGGCCTGTGGCTATCAACTTAGCTCTTTGGGACTAAGGTACCTGCTGGAATCTCTTAAAGTAAAAACATACAATTTCTGACCAGCTCCTTAACATACCTCCTTTGCCATGTCATCCACCTACTCTAAGTCTTGTGGAAGAGTTGGTTTAGTGTGTGATTTCTTTGAGCCATGCAAGAATATTTCTCCATTTCTTCCAAGGCCTCTCCCATTTAAAATATAAGGAGACCTACTTGTTCTTTTCTTCCTCAATCTTCTCTTTGAGGACATTTCCCAAATTCGAGTCATTCTTTAAACTCTGATGTTTTTTTCTGTATCTTGCCTCTTCTTGTATCATTATAAATTTAACACTTTTCTTTAAATCAATTTACCACTTTTCATTGAACTAAAATAATTCTAAAATATATGTCAGCAAGTAGAAACTAGTAACACTGGCTATAAATAGAAGATAACCATGAAATAAAACCAATTGCAATGAAATGATTCTTAAGAATAAATCTTAAAAATTGTAGCTAATGTTGACAGCATTCTCTTTGGTTAAAAATAGGAAATTAGCAATTGTTGAGACAGTTGTTGAAATGTATTGGCACCAAATTGAGAGTTCTCCTTGATATAATCAAGAGGATTGAAATAAAATGTTACATTTCGCTCTCTCACTATATGACTCAGTATTATCAAACATTCCACGTAAACTCATCCTCCCAGAGCCACCCCTTGTTCACAATCCAGTTTGGCAAGCACTGTCATGCAGCCCCCTCTTAGCATGCTTTAAATTGTAGGATGAAGGATCTGGGAGGGAACTGAGCAATCTTGAAGCTCAGCCCTTTCATTTTGCACATCAGGAATCCAAGATCTCTAAAATCACAGGGACCATTAATGGTTACTGATTCCCAATCCACTGGCTTTTTCACCACAGCACTTTGTCACTCCTGTCGATGTGCTAAGATTGACATCGTGCTAGGCTGCTGATGGAACTATTAATCCGTCCTTGCTGTTGTTCAGACACAGACTTTTAAAGTCTTTCACTTGGGTTGATGTCACTTTGCAAAAGGTACACTGTAAAGAATCAGCATATTCTTTAATTGTATGAAGTTTAACCTACTTCTACATTTTGAATAAATAAACTACAGAGGAATGAATACTAAGAAATATTATTCATCCAAAGTAAACATATTATTGGCTAGGATAACCCAAAATGAGTTTTATGAGTAATATCCAATTTAAAATCCTCGCTACAAATATAAATAGAAAATAAACTCATATTCTGTCCAGTAGCCTGCAGTCCTATGCATTTTGGATCTAATTCACACTCAGACATTTATTGAAAGGACAGAAAATAAAGAGAAAGTAGAGACACAGCCATTTAACAGTGTTACTAATGTCCCCTGAAGAGCTGTATTCTCGTACCCATCTTCTCCTCCTCACCAAGCCGATAGTGCTGCATCTCACCTCTTCTCTTCTGTCCTGTCTGTCCCACAGCATAGACGGACATCTGAAACTTCCATCTCACCCCCTGGGTCCAGCATCGGCTCACCCAACCGAGTCATCTGTGTAAGTATCACCTTTCAGCTACCAAAGGGCCTTGCTTACACTGGCCTGGCATTTGAAAGGTCGCTAGGGATGATGGAGCTGTCAGGTCCTATCCAGCTGATATTTGGTGTGTCCCCTGTCATATGTTAGGCTCTGTACCAGGTCCTGAGGGTGTAGTGAGGTACAGGAAGGATGTGGACCCTGCTCTGAAGCCTTCAGCCTAGTGAACCGAGAGTTACAGGGATTGTATAGAGCTGCATGGAGCATGAGAAAGAAAGTGCAGTGGCAGCGAGAGCCTCTGTTGAATTAGGAAACCATTGCAAAACGCCTCCTCTCCCATACTTTAATGGGAGCATCTGGCTTATGGAGTTTGTGGAGAGCAGAGCAGTACAAAAACTGGAGACCAGAGTGGTATTTAAGGTGGTCACTGAGAGGATAGTGACACAGAGGGAGTAGTTTGTGATGAAGAGGCAGAAGGGAGAAGAAAGCTGTATGCAGGTGGAAACACAGCATGAAGGATTTGCAGGCATGAGAAAGAACTTTCCAATTGTGTGCAAGATCCAGGGGTGATGTAGACCACTTTCAGGTGCCTGTGCTCCCATCTCCAGAGCCATTCAAATACAGGCTCAGAATCTGCCAGGGATGAGGCTGACGGAACAAGAGGTGAGCTAGATAACCACAGAGGTCCAATGTACACATAATTTATTCCTTCAGTCAATTTATTCCTTCCTGTGCTGAGCTCCTGTACTATGCACTGTGCTCTGCACTGAGTAAATGGTGGTGAACAACACTCAGCCGATACCTACCCTCATGCCGTTGGGCGCATCATGCCATGAAGTAACTGGCCACAGTTATGACAAGGGCCAGGACAGAAAAACACAGGATTCCCTGATGAAGCCATCGCCAAACAGAGAGACCTGAGCACCTAGGACCAGTTGGGATAAGGCCTTCCAGAGGAAGAAGCACTTAAACTCGTGAGGGATAAACAGAATTAAGCCAAAGAAGGTGGGAAGGCAGGGAGGCCAGGGCGGACTGCAGCGAGCAGCAGGTGACATTCTGATTGACTCTGCGGCGTTCCAGCCTTCCACAAATCAAAGGAACCAAGAAAGCCAGAAACGTGGAGGAATCGTTGAGAGTAAGGAACCCACTAGCCTGGGGTGGTCCCTGGTAGGATGGCTGAAGCATTACCCCAAATCTACATCTGGTTTCCTCTTCGATCCCTGGGTAATGCCCATTGATGGGATGATTTCCTTTCCTTCTTTCCTCCGATTAAATGAAAAATTTAAGATTTAAGAATTATTGACTGCAACTTCAGTATGAGCCAGTACTCCCATGTGACTGGCACAGAAGAAAAGCATTCTTTGCTTTCTTTTTTTGTGGTGCTGGGGATGGAACCTAGGGCCAGACAGAGGCCAAGCAAGAGCTCTGCCACTACACCACACTCCCAGCCCCAAGCAAGCTACTTCGATCCTAAGCTGACAGTTGCTGTCTGGGATAAGAGAGAAGATAGTCCTCCTGGCACTACGAATGAGATCAAGCCAAAGCAGGCTCAGTGGGCTTAGTTTCAGAGCCTGCACTGTGAGAAAGCTATTGACAAGTGTGAGCATGTCTCCGGAGGAGAATCACCAGGTATGAGAGCTCAGGGTGTCACTGCACTAGAATGGCAGTAATCGCCCCCTGGTTCCCTGTGCTACTAAGAAGCCTGGTTACTCCTGATGGCATGGTCAGGCCCTGATAATGTTCACCTCTGAGTCTTGGAGAAAGCCTGCTAGAGCTATGAGGAGCAGCTCACCTACAGATGAACGGTGGCAACTCGGGGCTAATCCACTGAGATCAGTTGCCCTGCACATCTGTGTCCTCCATGCTCTCTTTCAGCCTCTGTGTGCTTTAGTACAGCTACCCTGTCACATGCATGTCACATCAGGCACATTTAAGTCAGACCACTCCAAATATGGCTTCCAAATTGGGGGCGGGAGCCCCATGCACATTAGGAACATATACCAGACATAAAGATGGAATATTAGTTTCATTACATAGACACTTGAGATTTGGCATCAAAATGTAATCATTGGTGAACTTGAAGTGGATGGGTTCTTTGAAACCAGTTCTTTTTCATTTTCCAACTTTGTCCCATCCCCCACTGACTTCTAGAATCATCTTCAGGTGGTTTGACTCCCACAGGTTCCCTTGCTTCCTTCCTGACTGATTACTTTAGGATGCCACTATTCAATCACTGTGCCTCCAGACCTGAGGCTCATTTATAGCACTATGAATAAGGCAGCTGTGGGCAGAAATATAAATATAGTATTTTTGAGGTTTGGAGAAAAGTGCTTAGATGACTGTGCATGCAGATGAGTTTGTAAGATGCCAGGAGTTCTCAAGGTCAGGATCTAACATCCCAGGACAAAAGGCAACAATGAATTCTCCATATAAAGTTCCCTTTATGCACATACCCAAATTTGTTAGAGGTGTGAGTGTCTGTACCAAGCCAGCTCTGGCAAAAATCATACAGCACACTTCAAATGAGAGTTCTGCTCAGGGGGGGTTTCATGGAGGGTCAGGGGCCCCCCAAGGAAAAGAGAGATATCCAAGGACTTCAGCAGTGGATACTGCTGCCACCCTAGACATAAAGACACAAGGGAAAGGAGCAGTGTGACCAGGGCTGGCGAGAGTGGAGCTGTGGAACAGCAGCCACCAGGTGGGAGTCACGTCCAAGGCACAGCTGGGCAGGAAGGTGGCAAGGGAGTGATATGTCAGCCCCTTCCTCCACTCACCCTCCTGTCTGCTGGTGCCTCCCATTGGCCAGACCTGCCTGAGAGCAACAGAGGCTGTGATGCAGCGCAGGGGGCTCAGGGCACACACCCAGGCAAGAAAGGGTAGACAGTGAAGCTAGGGACAATGGAGAATAAATAGTCTGTGCCAGGGAATGAGTCAGGGGTAGTACAGTGAAAAGGCCTTGGGAAGTTTCTTAAATAGTGAAAGATACTTGTGAAAGCTGCTTATAAGATACTTGTGAAAGCTGTTCTCCCTAAGGTAGCCAAGCCCTGAGACTCTACTTAGCCCTTTGGCACTGGGAGATCCTCATGAGGATTTTGTCCGCAGTGGCCTCAAACTTAATCGGCCTCACCTCAGGACTTTCCAGACCATAGAAGTTACAGGAAAGTAACCATCCTGGCTGGCCAGAGCAGGAATCAGGTCACAGAGGAGACAGCTGGCAGACAGAGGTGTAGAAAGGACATGGCCTCAGAAGCCACAGGAAGTGGGCTGCCACTTGAAAGGGAAGCTGTCTTCTAATCCACATACCACTACAGCACTGGACTCAGGCAAAGTCCAGAAGTTTGAGGTTTTGTTCAGTTCCTTGTAAGGGGCAACTTTCCAAGTCTAGCCTCCAGATGGTACAAAGCAGTGAAACCCCATTCTAGGAAGCCAGAAGGGGTGGGGGCTCTTGGGTAAGACTACCTGGGTTCAGCTGAATTTTGCTACTTATTGGCTGTGTGATTTCTCTGTGCCTCTGTTTCCTTATTCAAAATTAAGATAATATAACTTGAATATTAGAGTCGTGAACTGTATACATGAGCTGAGTTAATCCATATAAGGGACTTGTGACAGCATAGCTCACAATATGCGCTTGCCAGATGTTAATTTATGTTTTACTCCATGATAACTTTTGTCTTCACCATCTTCTTCTTGGGGTTATCCTCACTGTGGGGTTGGAAGACAGTCAGCCTACAGATTGTGTGCTTCAGACTGGATTCAAAGATACCAGCTGAACAGTGCAAGCTGTGGAATATTTTGAGCCTCTGTTTCCTCATCTGGGACAATAGGAATGATATGGACACTTCATAGAGGTGCTGTGACATTTAGAGGAGATAATTCTTGTAAAACGTGGAGCCTTAAAAACGACATGTGCTCAGTAACTGTTAATCCTTTTGAAATGGATGGCCTTTAAGATCATTCCTACTCTGGTAATCTGTAACTCTTCACTTCAATACTAGTATTTTGTCTTTAGTGGAAACTAGCCAAGCTTGCTCCTCTTCTACCTTGTTTTTGTTTCCTTTTTCTCTTTTCCCTCCTATCCTTCAACTTCTTTCCTGCCCATTTCCCTCTTCCCCAGGCCAAAGTGGATAATGAGATCCTTAATTACAAAGACCTGGCAGCTCTTCCCAAGGTTAAGTCCATCTACGAGGTACAACGCCCTGACCTCATTTCCTACGAGCCTCATTCCAGATACACGTCCGACGAGATGCTGGAGAGGTGCGGCTATGGAGAGGTACCGCATCTTGCCCTTCTCTGCCGGGCTGTTGAAGGCGCTGAGGTCCCACTGGGGTCTCTAACTCCCTTCATCGTCAATGGCTTGGCCTCCACAGTGATGGTCCTCAGACTCGTCTGAACTGGCATTTATAGCCAACATTTAAAAATCAAGAGATTTCATCCAAAATCCTGGCTTTCTGGCTTTTTCTAAAATCAGGCATTAAACATATTTTTACTGTCAGGAGATGGGTAGCAGCACTACCTATAAACAGGACTTGGGCTCTCCGTTCTACCCAGTCCACACACATACACCTGTTCAATCCCACGTGGAACTAAAGACCTGGAAATGGCCATTGTTTTTCTCACAATGAAGGGATTCTACTTATACTCAGCCCAAGACTCTTATCCCCAGCTAGGCTCAGTGCCTGCCGAAGCTCAGAAATTCCTAGGTAAGCACGTTCTGTCAGCTTTGCACCTGACTGCAAGCCCCTGTGGTCTAAGCAAGAGGTTCATTTATAAAGGTTTATCAAATGGTTTTAGAAGTCAGTACATGGTTGCTAAAAATTTCTCTAGAGAAGGCACTGTGGGCATCACATTCGTCACACTGGGGATCCTGGTCATCTACAGCCCAGGAGATTTCTAACCCCATCCCAAGCCCCCTGGGCTGCAATAATTGGAGAAGAAGGAATTCTGGGCCTGTAGGCAGGATCCCAGGTTCCTGTCCCAGAGCCACCACTAATTAGCTGGTGTCCGGTGCTCCATTTGGTTGGATAGTCTGAGGTTCTCTGAGCTGTGATCCCTGAAATGGACCAGGAGAAGAAGCACCAAGTGTTTATAGAAGCTGATTCTCTGAAATTGGAAATGGTCAACCAGGATCCATGGGCCACAGCCAGCCACCAGATGTTTCGATTCACTCACAGTATCTTTGAGAAATGTAAATTAGTTGTCAACATATAAAGCTTGGGAAATTTCACTTAAGAATTTGCATTTCTGACTTGTCTGGGAAATTAAGAAGCTGGTCAGTGCTAGGCGTAGGGCATGACCTTCTAAGGCAGAGTGGCAGCTACCCTGTCTAGTCAGGTCACACAGTCTCCAGTTTGTGTACCACACCCCGGCTCCACTCCCTTGCTGGTGGCAGCAGCTTGGCCCTTGGTTACCCCTGCATTTGGATGCTTTTCCCTGGACATTGCTCATGGCCACAGAAGGATAATGAACCAGGAGAGGCAGGAGGGTTGTGGAAATAGCTCTGAACTTTTGGTAGAGAAACCTGAGTCCAAGCCAAGACCCACATCTCCTCCCTGAGAGGTCCTAGTGGCCCTAGCCCTCCTAATACCTCCCCGGGCCTTGCTTTCTCCAGATGTACAAGGGGGAACACAGTATTAAAGTATTCTGCTTCATATCCACAGTTCTGACATCCTGGAGTTCTGAATGAGGCATTATCTGGGGAGGGGCACCAAGGGGTAGCTGCAGGCCCTCTCTTTGCAGAACCATTTAACCTTATCCTGTCCCTTCCTCTTACCTTCCTCTCTCTCCCTTTGCTCCCTCCATGGCTGCCTTCAACTCTTCACTTCTAAGTCGCTGGGAACATTATCTCCCTACTCACAGGTAATTCAGCTGGTATTGACAAAGGTCAGGGAGACCTTTGAGTTCTTGTGTCCCTCTATGCTCACCAAGAAAGGTCCTGTCCCTCTATGCTCACCAAGAAAGTTCCTTAACACCCCAATGGGCTTGATCCTGGCTCCAAGTGCCTGCCTCAACTAGGGCAAGGGCCTAAGGGGTGGTAATGATTGGCAGAGAACCTAAGGTGCCCTTCCACCAGAGATGGTCTTCCTTGTGTCCCTGTGACCCCTGGTCAAGACTCCAGGGACTGACCTGTGGGTTCTATCCAAAGACTTCAAGTAATGCACAAAGGTCCTAAAAATTCTCTGCCACCCTCCTCAGGTTATGTGCATAACTCAGAAAAGGAGTCTCTGTATTCATGCCCCAGCCCCTAGAATCCCCAGTTCCATTTTGTGTCCTCGCTACCTACAGCGGTTGGACAGAGTCAGCTCACAGTCCCTTCTCCTCCTGCAGGACATCTACGAGAACCTGGACCTCCGGCAGAGACGGGCTTCCAGCCCAGGGTACATCGACTCTCCCACCTATAGCCGGCAGGGCATGTCTCCCACCTTCTCCCGCTCACCTCACCATTACTACCGCTCAGGTAAGGAAGGCAAAGCTCCCTGAGGGAGCCCCAGGGGCAGTGCAGCAACTTGGTGTCCCTGAGGTGCAGAGACAGCACAGGCTACCCCAGGATCTCCATGGCAATATGGCCTTCTGGAGACCTGTGACCATTCAAGTGACTGTCTGGGCCTGACTGAAGCTCTGGGATGTCCCTAGAAGGGGGAAGGATAGGCAGCAGGGAGGTGGGTGCTGCCAGGAGAAGGGAGCAGCAGGCAGCCTGACATCCCTGGCTGGAAGAACACTCTATCCTCATGCTTTGGCCTTCCCCATCCACACAGTAGACCCAGACTAAATGCCTGAATGTAGCGTGGCCTTCACCCAAGGGTCCAGCCCCCACCCAGACAGTCAAGACAGTCTCAGTCAACCCGGGCTGGGGGTGAAGCAGGTCCTGGAGGGAAGAAAGGGGCAGTTATCGGGGGAGCCCATCAGGGAGGTGGGGAGCTAAGTAGACCCAGAAGATACCTGACTGAGGCTCAGCAGAGTTGACCCTTACAACCCATGAGCTGTGGTTTGGGGTCAAACGAGGAAACAGGTGGAGCTTGTCCCTGCAGAGCAGTGCATGGAGAGCACATGCTTCTTCCACCGGAGCTGAGCACGCCGGGATGCCCAGCCCCCCACCTCGCTGTCATCACCTCACCGCTTCTTTAACTGCCACTGCATTAATGCTTGTTTTCTCTGTGCCTCTGTTCTCTCTGGGGACCAATGCCTCCGTGCTCCAGGGCCCGAGAGTGGCCGGAGCTCTCCATACCATAGCCAGTTAGATGTGAGGTCCTCCACTCCAACCTCTTACCAGGCTCCCAAGCACTTTCACATCCCAGGTAGGCGCTGCAGCCTGGCTTCCCAGCATGGGTGCATGCTCTGGGGGGTGCTGGGCACCTGACCTCCCGCTCGATGCTGCACAGGCACCGGGGAGAAGCTGGTTCTGGGGGCCCTCCCTAACCGTCACCCACGCTAACCACCTCCCAGCCCCAACATGCCCACAGGCTTTAGTCTCCCCGATTGACTAAACCAACCTTGATGAGGTCCACAAGGAAGCCACACACAGACAAAGAGTCACAGGCAGAAAGTGTGAAATGCCCAAGCGTGGCAAGCCCAGAGGGCCATGACGAGTGCAGTAATGACATAGTGATGGAGGCTGCGGGCATCAGAGCTTTGAGCACTGAATCCCAATCCTGCTTCCCTGAGCCTCTGCCACCCTGCAGGTACAGCCAGGCACTCTTCTAGGCCCCGAGGTCGCAACAGGGGTCCCTCAAGCCTGGATCCTGCTTTCATGGAATGTATATTCTAATGTAAAAATTAACCCCCCAAAAAAGTGGAAGGACACTCTCAGGAGATGATAAATGCTATAAACATATTTTTAAAAAGCCAGGTCACCATGTGAAAGTGACTCGGGTAGGGAGGCAGGCTAGGCAGAGTGGTCAGAAGGGCTTCTTGGAGGAGATGACATTCAAGCTGAAGGAAGAGAAGGAATCAGCTCAGGAAAATCCCAGCAGAAAGCAGACAGGCAGAGGCAGCAGCATGCACAAAGCAGGTGTGACTGGAGGAGGTGATCGGAGGTGGGAGGAAGGCAGGGGCCAGCTGGCCTGGTAGGTGTGGTCTTGCAAGACAAGGTCTCACCCCGAGTTACAGCAGAGTCAGGCCCAGACCCTGCCTTCCAGCTCTGAGCTCAGCTTTTCACTCCCCACTCACTCTTGCCGCAAGAGCTCGGCCTGCTGTTTCATCTCTACTTTCCCCAGCTGCCCCAGAGGGGTCCCATGCTGTCTGGTTTTGAGGGAGGGAGAGGGAAATAACGCTGAAATGTGGCTGCAGCATTCCGGGGACTGTCACATGAAACAAGGTGTGACCACTGGGAAGGACAGTGGACACCTTCCTGCATGGGGTCTGCTGCGCATGCTCCCCACCCATCCCGCATGCCCACCATTTAGCCCCATGTCTCTTCTTTGGCACCATTTGTACCATCCACCCCTCCCCCCATTTACCTGGAGCCTGTTGGGGTGAGATTGGAGGTTCAACTCTGGAGAAAGATGGTGCCCCTTGAGTGAAGTTGCTGACACTCTCTCTTTTCAGAGATCAACTGACCAAGTACCGTCTCCTTCTCTCCTGTCTTTCTCTCTCCTCCCCATTGCCCCTTCCTGATCTGTCTGGCAGCTGGAGAAAGTAACATCTACCGGAAACCCCCGATCTACAAACGGCATGGTATGGTCAGAGGCAGACAGGGCTTGGCCGAAAAGGAAAGGGGAACTTTAACCGTCTCTGCAGATGACTCTGCAGAGGCCACCAGAAGCAGCCCAATGCAAGGCCACAGCCTGATCCTACTGTCTGGTGTCCTTGACTCATGATCAGAGTAATTCTTACAAAACACACGTAGCCCTAGGGGAATTATATCTCCAAGACAGTGATACCCAAAAATATTTATTAGAACTATATGGGATGTATATAGATTCCTAGACCCCACTCTATTTTTTTGTGTGTGGGTACCAGGGATCAAACTCAGGAACTTGCGCTTGCCAGGTAGGCGCTTATGCTACTGAGCTATATCCCCAGCTAGACCCCACTCTAAATTGACTGAATTCTGATTTTGTATTTTTAACAGTTTTTATCTATGATTCTGATATCCAGCTCAGCCCTGAAACCACTGTTCTAAGGTATTTGCAGTCAGTCTCCTGAGAGACCATCTGCTCCTTAGAGACTTATTAAAAAGGGATGTTCCTTACCCCCCTCCAAGTCCCAGATGCTCTTAATTAGAGATACTCAGAGTCTGGCCCAGGATCTGCACTAACCAGTTTTGTTCATAATCCCCGCCTACACTCAGTATTAGAACCACAAACCCCTTCATCACTGAGCCCTCCTGCTCATTTTTGCAAAAGCCCTTACTGTGCTTCAATTGAATAAGCACATCTCTCCCTTTGAGGGTGCAGAGGAGTCACTGCCATCCTGAGCATCCTTACTTACTCACAGATCTAATTGGATAACAGAGGGGACCACCAATTTGGATGAGCTTGGAGGTTGACCAAGCAGTCCTGTGCCAGCTGATGCAGGGGGTAATGCAAGTATAAATAGTGGTTCTGGCGCTCAAGACCCTGAAATTTACACAAACATCCTCAGTCTCCAGGGGCTGATCAGGGGCTCAGTGAGCCCCTGGGTTCTGTGGGCATGTGCATGTGTACACACCGCCATGGAAGACATGCTATGTGCTCCAAGTGGCCATGGAAAAACACCGTCCTGACCAGATTTGGTTTGGCTTTCCATCCCAAAATGCCCTCGTGTTCCAACCTTCTCAGGGCTTCATGAAGTCTCCAGCTGGACCCTTAGGGGTAGCACCAGAGCAGGCTTAGGGGTCCACGGTGGAGGTCCATGCATGGATGAGAGGGCAGATAAACTGGCAAAATGCAGCCGACCAGCAGGACTGTGCAGAAGCCAAATCAAAGGAGGATTCACAAACTTTGGCAGCAAGTGCTACTAGGGAAGGCTATGAAATCCTGGCTGGCTGAAGGCAATTACCCTCTGCTGCTCTGACTCCATGGAACATAGAGTTTATCCCTAAAATTTCCCTGTAGCTCTCTTTCAAATTATTGCAGTGTCATGATAGTTTCTGCTCTCTCACTCGGTCTCTGTCTCTGTGTCTCTATCTCTATCTCTCTCTGTATTTGTCTGTCCTCTGTCTCTATCTCTCTCTACCTGTCTGTCTGTCCTCTGTCTCTATCTCTCTCTATCTCTGTACCTGTCTCTCTGTCTCTGCCTCTCTCTCCCTCTCACCCTCTCTTTCTCCCCATCTCCCTCTCCCTCTCCCCCTCCCCTCTCCTCTCCCTTCCCCTTCCCCTCCTCTCTCCTTTCCCCCTTCCCTCCCATCTCCCTTCCCCCTTCCTCTTTCTTCCCTGTCAGCCTGTATCCAGGCTTTGGACCACTCAGCAGGTATTTGTGCCTACAGTGGATTTTCTGATCACCTAGTTGTGGGCTTACTTCAGATAGAAGCTTGAATCCAGGTTCTACCTGAACCAGAACACTAATTCCAACACTTACAAATCAGAAAACTGAGGCAGAGGTGGGCAGGTTTTTGCCCAGTGTTGCACGTGAGCTAAGTGGCAGAACTGGAAATGGAGCACACCTTTGCTGACATGCTGTCCAGTGCTTTGGGCCATTTTGCCCCCCGACCCCCACAGTCAGGATGTGGCATTTCAGGATGTAAGGAGAAGGCAGACTTGCCTTTCATTGATCCTGGCCCTGCCTGGAAACTCCCTCCTAGATGTGATTCAAATCCATAATAAGGCAGGCTTCTAAAGGGCCAGGAAGGAATGGGCTGAGCTCACCTGTGACTGCTGCATCTTCTATTAAGGATATAGCTTCAGTGTTTGCTAAGGAACAGACAGAGGAGTCCATGGAATGAGCTGAAAGGAGCCTTAGCTTGGGTTTGATCCAGTTCTGAGGCAAACTGCTCTGTGGACTTGAGCAAGCCCCTTCCCCTGTCTAGCCATTATAAAATAAGAGGTTGGCCCAGGGCTTTTCCAGCTCCAATGCTCCATGTCCCAGACTTTCCTAAGAGAGACCCCTGACCCCGAAGTGACCTGTCACCCTTGGACTGAGCCTGGCAGGGACAAGGAAAGGGTGCATGTTCCCAGCCAGGCACTCTGCCTTCCTGAAGCACTCTCCTTGGTTTCTTTGCAGGTGATTTGTCTACAGCAACTAAGAGCAAAACAAGTGAAGACATCAGCCAGTCCTCCAAGTACAGTCCAGCCTACTCACCAGACCCCTACTATGCTGCGGAGTCTGAGTACTGGACCTACCATGGGTCTCCCAAAGGTAGCATCCCCATAGGTCCCTGGGGCCAGAGCCTTGGCTCCTATGCCAGGAACTAGGGAGGTCAGGACAGTCACCCATTGCTTCACACAATCATTCTGAAAAAGAATGCTTAGAAGAGCTACACTGGGGATTTTTATTCATTCACAGCAGGTATTAAGGGCCAGCCATGGACCCTAGGGATAAACTAGGTAATAAATTAGACGAGGTTCCTGCCCTTGTGAAGCAGACATAGGTCCCAACTGAAAGAGGGAAGTGATACCCAAGAGATGGGAAAGTTGTTGTCCAGGGTATGCTGTCCATCCAGAGGGTAGCAAAAGCTCAGATGCAGTGACTCAGTTGCCATAGGAAGGGTGCAAGGAGGTAAGTCAGCAGGGAGTGTAGAAACATATCCACAAACACCACATCTGCAGAGACGTGGATTGGGAAGACAGGTTCCACTGGAGGAAAGGAAAGGCTGTCTGCTTAACCTTGAGCTTGGAGAGGGACAGGAGCTGGTGTGGGTATGAGGTCTTTTGAGTGGAAGTAAGGATTTTGATTATTATCCTAAACAGTGAAAACTATTGGAAGTAGTGACATAATCACAGTTATACTTTTGAGAGGCCACTTTGGCTTTAGGGCAAAAAATAGTTTGGAGAATGGAAAAAGGGAAGATGTGGGAAGATGGAAGGCTCTAATAAGTAGGCACCCTCATCCACTGGGAACCACCCCTCCCACTCAGACAGCCAAGCTGTTCCTTTCATGTATTGGAGAGGAGGTCTTCAAGATCCTCTTTGATTCAACACTTACTAATGGAGTGTCTAGTCTAAGCAAGCTTCGTGCACACTCAGCGATGAGCCCTTCATTATCCTCAGACAATTCTCCATTTAGAAAGGAGGTAACACACAGAAATAATTTTAACCCAAAGTGGACAGAGACCAGAACACATGGGGGTAAATGCTCAGAGAGTGCAAGAGCAGAACCCCTTCCAGAATGTGTCTTGGGTGAGATTATTGGGAGGAAGGAAAGGAGGGATGGACAGAGAGAAGAAAGGAAAGAAAGAAAGGAGGAGAAGAGAGAGGAAAAGAGAGGGGAGGGGAGAGGAGAGGAGAGGAGGAGAGAAGAGAGGAGAGAAAGGGAGAGGAGAGGAGAGGAGAGGAGAGGAGAGAAGAGGAGAGGAGAGGAGAGAGGAGAGGAGGGAAGTGAGGTCAATCCATTGGCTTCAAGCAGGGCAGGCTGAGTGGGGAGAATATACTAGAGCTCATCCCATGGTCCTTCAGCAGTGCCCCGAGCCAGAAGGTTCTCATCTGGAGGAGAGGAGGACGACTTTGACCGCAGCATGCACAAGGTGAGCAGACCACATCACCAAATGAGGATCTCAGAGGATTTTTTTCATTTACAAGTGTCAAAAACCAAATTCAAACTCACTTAATAGGAAACAAAAAGAATTGCATAACTTTGTAGAACTGAAAATTTAAATGGTAGGATTAGCTTCATTCATATAACTAGATCTAGCTGCTCCCCCCAAAATTCCATAGGGGTGTTGCATGTAGTAAGTTCCTTCCTTTATGGGGCTTACCTCTGTGCTGGTTTCATGTTCAGACAGGTTCTTTTCATGTAGCAGTAAGTGGGCACCACCTTCACGAATTGCTGGTGAGAATGTAATATGGTCCTACCACTGTGGAAAGCAATTCCTCAGAGGGTTAAACATAGAATTACCACAGGATCTAGCAAGTCCATGTTCAGGCACATACCCAAAAGAACTGAAAGCATGGACTCAAACATGTTCATAGCAGCACTCGCCACAATAGTCAAAAAGTAGTTATAACCCTGTCTTAGTTACTTTTCTTATTGCTGGGACAAAATACCTAATACCCAAAATTAAAGGAGGAAAGGTTTATTTAGCTCACAGTTTGTAGAGGTTTCAATCCATAATTGGCTGGCTCCAAGGCAGGGTGGCAGGGGAGACAGGGTTTGCATAGGAGAAATAGTTCATGGTAGGCAGAAGGTAACAAAGCACCAAGAGAGCACCACAGCTCTTTCTAGCCCTTACATCTTATCTAGACTACTTAGGGTGGATAGCACTTACACCCTTAGTCCTATTGCCCTTGATCCTAGCATTGCACTATGAATCAACCCCAGTGTCACACACTCTAGATCCAGCCACCTCTAAAAAAAACCCCACCTATGACTGCATAAGGCTTTGGAGGGACATCTGAACACAAGCCATAACAAACCCAAATGTCTATCAACTCACAAATGAATAAACAAAACATGGGATATTTACACAATGGAACATTACTCAGCCATAAAAAGAATGAAGTAAGTAGTGATGCATGTTCCAATGTGTATGAATCCAAAATGCATAATCCTAGTGGAAACAAACACACAAAATCCCATATATCAGGGCTGGGGATGTAGCTCAGCGGCATAAACACTTGCCTGGCAAGCCTGAAGTCATGAGTTTGATTCCCGGTACCAAAAAAAAAAATCCCATATATCATGTGTTTCCATTTTTTTTAATTTTAAGAAGAATTATAAAATACAATAGCAAAATACCAACAACATAGACAAAAAAAAACAAAGCAAAAACAATAAAAATGATACATGGTTTCAGAATAAAATGACAGGAATTAACAGTGGCTGTTATATTACATATTGTTACCTTCAATGAAGTTGCTTAGATTATCAGATGTAAGAATGTAAGACTGATCAAACTATTAAAGAGAATAAAAAATAAAAACCAAACAAAATGTTAGAAACAACACAGAGTTTCACTAAACAAGATGGTAGGAATTCATCAATGGTTGTTATATTGTGTATGAAAATATCCAAAATAGGCAAATCTATAGAGACCTAACGGAAGTTGATGTTATCAGGGCCCAGGGGAGAGAGGAATGGAGAGTGGTTGTTTAATGGATACAGAGTATTCCTTGGGGGTAGTAGAGATGCTTGGAAAGATGGAGGTAGTATTGGCACAACATTATAAATTTACTAACGGCCACTGAATTGTTCAGAGTCAGCTCTCTGTATCTGCAGATTCCACGTCATGGATTCACCAACTGCAGATAGAAAACATTTTTTAAAAATTGTCTATACTGAACCTGTGCAGACTTTTGTCATTATTCCCTAAATAGTACAGCGTAACAGCTATCACATAGCATTTCCATTGTGTTGTTTGAGTAATCTAGAGATGATTTAAAGTACACAGGAGGATTGCAGAGGTGAGTTGCAGGTGCTACTCCATTTTATATAAAGACTTGAGTGTCTGCAGGGTTTGGTATCCTTCAGGAGTAAGGGAGTACTGTGATCAATGCCCTATGAATACTGGGACAGGATTGTACTTCAGAATGGTTAATTTTAGGTTATGTGATTTTCACTTCAGTTTTCTAAATGGCTGTGTGCCTGTCATTAAACCAATCACTGTGGTCAGGCTAATGTGACTGTCACTGCCCAGCCCTGCTTCTTTGTGCCAGCTCCACAGCCTCTCCCAGACCTCAGGGCTCCTTGCAGGAGGCAAAGCCTGGCCTGCAGGAAAGCAGGGTGCTGGAGGCAAAACTGACAGAGGCTGCCTGTAGAGGATGGAACACTGAGCCTTTGCCTAACCTGTCCCATCTCAGGTCATCCACTTCCTTCTGACTTCATCTTGCTCCTCTCCACCCCTAGCTCCAGAGTGGAATTGGCCGGTTGATTCTGAAGGAGGAGATGAAAGCCCGCTCGAGCTCCTATGCGGATCCCTGGACCCCTCCCCGGAGCTCCACCAGTAGCCGCGAGGCACTGCACACAGCTGGCTATGATATGTCCCTCAATGGCTGTAAGCACATCTGTTGGCTGTTCACTTTGAGTCAGGCGTATTGTGAGGCACAGCCTAAACATCCTCTGCTTCTTCCCAGAAGCCCCATACAGTAGATCCCTGTATTAGTCAGTCATGTTTCCAGTTGCTGAGACACAACTTAAAGGAGCAGTTTAATTTAGCTCAGGCTTCAGAGAACTCAGTCTATGGCAGTGATGGTGGAGCTATGGCACATGTGCTGCAGCCGACTGTTTGTTATTACTGAAAGCCCTTGAAGGCTCCCCATCACTGGTCTATGGTCTTGTGGCTCCAAAGCAGGAACATCAAGGCATAAGATCATGGTAGAGCAAAGATGCCTCGTTCATGGCACCTGGGAAACAGAGCAGGGGAAGAGCACCAGCCAGGAAATGTCCAGGGACTATATATAGTACCCAAAGCCACACCTCCATGGGTCGCCCAGAAATACCCAGAAGTGTGCTCCATCAGGCCCCAGCAGGGGTCTCAAAGCCAGCCAAGTTGACTGAATTTCCATCCTAACAGCCACAATCCCCCGCTTACTACAGATGGGGAACTAAGCTCAGAAGCCTTCGGGAACTTGCCCTAAATCACTGAGCATATAAATGATGGCACTCCTCTTTCCTAAAAGTTTTGTTGGAATGCAGCCAGCCCCAAATTCAATCTCTTAGCCTAAAAGGGGATCAGGAGAGGCTCACCACAGAGGTTAGCCCAGACCTACACAACCTCCTGCACCCCCGGTGCCGCTTTGGGAGCCCCTCTTGGGTCTGGAATACAAGCGTGGTAAGGGAAAGATGAGGCAACAGCTGAGCCCAAACTCTGCCCTGAACTCTTCTTTGAGCCTTCTTAAACGGTGGCTTCCAGTGAGGCTCAGTGTAAAACAAAAGCAAACCTTCTAATACTGCGTACTTTTCTGCTACTTCCCTTTTCTTAACTTTGGTGGGACTCAGTCTTGCTGGGAAATCCCATCTCAGATCAGTACTTTTGTTTTTTTGAGACAGGGTTTTGCTATGCAGTTCAGGCTGTCTTTGAACTCACTTTGTAGCCCAGGCTGGCCTCAAACTCGCAGCAGTCCTCCTGCTTTAGCCTCCTGAATGCTGGGATTACAATGTGTGCCACCATGCCCCGCCTAGATTAATACTTGGTGGGCAATAAAAGATGTCATTTATTACATTCTTGGGTGCCAAGAATTATCATTCTTGGTCTTCACAGTTCCCAACAGTGCAGAGATTATTATCACTCACTTTATAGACAAGACAGCTGAAACTACGTCTCTTACCACTAAGATTATGTCGGAAGCCACTAAGAGACTGAGCCAGGGTCAGACCTGACTTAAAGTGACCTAAGGCCATGAGCTTTTCCGTCTTCACCTTGCTCCACCCTTGACCTTGATGAGACTGAAGCCAGTGGGTGTAGTGTGATGAGTGTTATATGTCAGGCACTGTGCTAATATCTTGTACTTTGTCATATATTCTTCACAAGAGACCTATAAAGGAGACACTACCACTCCCATTTTACAGATGAGAAAACAGAAGCCTGATTGAGTAACTTGTCTGCAGTTAGGCCCCTACTAATGGCAGAAGCAGGGTGAACCGATGGGCTGTTTCCCTGTCTGCCCCTGAGGGCCACTGTCTTCAGCCCCTGGCTCTGGGCTCAGTGCAGTGCACTGAGGCTGCTCCCAATTCACATCTGCTCAACTGCATTTGCACAACAAATATCCCAGAGCACCTGGTCTGCACCGGGTGCTGGGTTGGAACTGGGGTGCAAGAGGGATGGTGGAATGCAGCTGTGATGACTGAAAACTGGCCAGTGCTGGAAGAGGCCACTCTATCCCCGCCAGGAGGGCCCAGTCTTTTCCTGTGTCTTTCTGTCCCCATGAACACTGATGCCTGGCTCTTCTCTCTTGCAGCCCCTCGTTCGCACTACCTGGCTGACAGCGGTAGGTCCTGCCCGGCCCGCCTCCCGCCTGTCTCGTCCTTTGAGGGCAGAGTCAAGTCAGCCTCAGTTCCCTGAATCTCTGATGGCCACACAGTGTAGATGCCTCAGCACAGTCCTGATCTCAAATATTCCACCCCACTGGAGTGTCAGATTGTGGCCTTAGTTCAAGGCACTACAACCAGGGAGGTTAGGTCCAACCGCCCCTAAAGAGAAGAAACAAGTATATACCTCTTCCACCCACCTGGGAACCCACCGGTCTGGTTCTGAGCTTGACTCCAGTCCCAGAGCCTTTATCCAGAGCCATGCTGGATAAAGCATTTCCTCACAGGAAAGATGTGTGTCCGTGAAGGGCAGAAAAGTGTATGCGTGTGTACCTCTGAGGGCCCTGAATCCTGCCAGTTATCCCTGAAACGGTCAACCTGCAGCTGTGGGAGGCATCAGGAAGAACTGGTGGCCTTTGGCTCCTGCCCTTTTCCACTGGGTTGGGAGTAGCATTGGCCATTTGTAGACAGATGACCCCAAGGAGAGCAACCCACAGTTTGGGGCCCCCTAGTAATAGCTCTGACTTCTTTTCAGATCCCCTCATCTCTAAATCTGCCTCCCTGCCTGCCTACAGAAGAAATGGGCTGCACAGGGTAAGAGGGGCCATGCTGGGGGACATTGCCCCAAGAGGCTAACAAGTCCAGCATCAGCTCATTGCTCTGGTGACTGCTTATGGGTGAGAATGGAGGAAAAGCCTTGGGGTAGAGGTGGGTTAACTGAAAGAACCCAGTGGCAATGACTTGCTTCCCTGCCTTATGTGACCAGTGTGAAGAGGTGCCCAGGGGATGGGCTGGGAAAAGCTAGTATTTATTGGGAAAGAGCTCTGTGCCAGATACTGAACTTTACAAGCATCGACATGTATGCCCTTCACAACCCAGAGGAGGTGTCTGGCATTAACAACCCTACTTTGTGGGTAGGGAATGGAGGCATGGTGGGAAGAGATAGTGTGTCCATACTGTCACACCCTGTGGGGCCAGGATTCGAGCCAAGGCCAACTAACCTTACAGCCATACCTGACTGCCAAGCACCAGCGGCCTGTTACACAGCATATAGCCTGCCGAGTCCTTTGGCAGCTCATGACATAAAATCTTTGTGGAAGCAGTGAGCTGGCTTATAGGCTGAAAAGACATGAAAACATGTCTTGCTAGCAATAGGAGAGGCCATGGGACTGGAAAGTGACAGGGCATAAGCCAGGAACATTGAAATAGACGTTAATTGATTGGCCATCTACTAAGTGCCAGGTCTGGCTCCAGGTGCTGAGGATCCTGCAGTGAATGAAGTCACTGCTAGTGGGAGATGGACAGGAAACAAGAAAATGTGTGATATAAAGTAATCAGAAGTGAAAAAAAAAAAAAAAAAAGTAATCAGAAGTGCTAGGATGGAAAACAAGGTAGGGGGTAGAAAAAGGCAGCCAGAGAAGGGTGAACTTAAACAAAGTCCTGAAAGTGGAGAGAGACCCTCATTACTTGAAGACCTGCAAAAGCCACATGGATGCAGGGAAGGAAAAGGTCTAAGCCCATGGGCAGGGAGAGTGCAACAATCCTGAGCCACGTGACCAGGACAGAGGAGGGAGGAGATGAAACCGGGCAGGAAAGTCATTAGGGCCTTGCAAGCTGGGTAGGGTCCTCAGAGGGTTTCAGTACACGTGCTGTGTGATCCACCTCAGATTTTTAGTGGACCCTCCAGCGGGTGTGTGGAATAGAAACTGCAGAGGGGCAGAAACAAGCCGTAGATTCATTAGGAGACTGTTTTAGGGTAGAACAAGTCACTGCAGAGCAATGGCTGATGTTAGTAACCCATGCAAGCAGAGCATGCTGTCACTGCACCCAGAAGTCAGGCAATTATTCATCAGACAGATGTTTACTGAAATCTTCTTCTGTATGCCAGGCACCACTGTGGGGACTTGTAGTACATCAGTGACCAAAACCAACAAAGGTTGCTGCCTTTTTGTAGGAGGAAACTATGTAATAAATAGGAGGAAAGTCCAGTTATATGGAGTGCTTCACGGTAGTGCTATGGGAAAAAATAAAAAAGATGTGCAGGTTAAGGACTGAGAGTTTGTGGAGCAGGCCATGTGCAGTTGTCAATAGTGCTATCCCCAGAGATCTCATAAGACAAGGTATTGGCAGTGGCATACAGCATAAGATTAAATTCACAAAATAAGTGGGTAAGGATTGAGTGCCTACTGTGTGCTAGGTCTAGGCGCAGAAAGGCAGCAGTGAGCTAGATTTCTCTCAATTGAGACTGAGGCTGCTGAGAGGGCCCTATCCCCCACCAGCCCACCAGCCCTGGTCCACATTCTGGAGATGAGTGAATGGTTCAGAGAGGCAGAGGCAAGCTTATCTCAGACCATCCCGGCTCTGTCTCCTCTGCAGACCCCCAGCGCAGACCTCTTCCACTATGACAGCATGAACGCAGTCAACTGGGGCATGCGAGGTGAGCGAGGGCCTGGCTGGGGTTACAGGAGATGGCTCCTTCTGGGACTTCCCAGGGACTCCGGATGTACTGCTCATAACTGTCGCTTGACCTTTGGCAAATAATTGCTATAGCTTCCATCTCCACCCTGGGCTCTGTCCAAAGCCTGAGTTTCACTCCCTTTTACTTCCACTCCCTCTTTTACCCCTGTTCTTCCTCTCAAGTCCCCGGCCTTGGGTGATCTCCAGGCCATCTGTCCCATCTGGGTTCCCAGAACCATTGCAGGGTGCTGAGGTCCCTGTACTGCTGAGCTAGAGCTGCCTGCCAGCCCCGGTGAAGGGAAACACTCACAGCCAAATGGACAATGTTCCCAGAAAAAAAATTCCATGAGCCACACACTCTCTGCCAGGAAAGTTCTCACACTAGCCCCTATCAGCTCCTCTGGGTAGGCGCAGAGAGGAGGAAGCTCACATCAAAATTGTGATGGTTCCCCCTAGAAGATGAAAGTTCATATCTATGTGCCTCATGAGCTCAGATCCTTTTATTTCTATTCTAAGTATCTCAAAACCTATTTTTCCCTTAAAGCCATCTCAAGATTAACCCCTGTCCTCAGCCATTCAGCATTCTCATACAGCTGTGGCTATTCTCCATGGTGAATTCAGCCAGGACAGGGTCTCTGGATGATCGAGACCAGGAGACATACGGAGGCCCGACCTCTTTGGAAGCTAAGGCAGCAGCCAAGGCAGTGATGTAAAGTCAAGATTGATGGGCTCTACCTTATTCATGTTTCTTTTCTCTCTACAGAGTACAAGGTAAAGGATACATAGACCCTGGGGGTCTCCAGGATGCTGGGAGCCACTGCACTGGGGACTAGCAAGAGGATGACACCACCATCTATGAAGGAAAGGGAATATAGATGAATAATCTCCAGAGTTCTTTCAAGACTATCATTTCCTGTCCCTCCTTCGACCACTTTCCCCAAATCCTGCCAAGGTCTCCTGCCTATGAAATCAGGCCATTTCCCTCAAGGACTCTGGTGGCTTACTAATCACCAATTAGGAGATACGTTCAGGAGGCCTTGTGCCCAAATTAATGCTAAATGCCACCAAGCTTCACTTTGGCAGCATAAGAGGTCCTTGTGGGGCCTTGCCTTTGGGGAGAAGGTGCCTTAAGACTTCTGGGTAACCCAAACAAGGGTAGATCCAGCCTTCCTCCAGACTTAATCTCTGTCCCTTTCTGGATAGAGGAAGGAACCCAAATACAAACTATAGCTGAAAGAGACAAGTCCACATTCCTCACCCAAGCTGGAAACACACCTCCCACATACCTTTTCTCCCTAGATCTACCCCTATGAACTACTGCTGGTGACCACAAGAGGAAGAAACCAACTGCCCAAGGACGTAGACCGGACCCGCTTAGAAGTAAGTCCAGAAAACTAGTCTAGAAAGGACAGGAGCCTTTGTGTTTGAAAGGATTCCAAAATTCCCTGATGCAACCCAGCAGGTCAGGCCTTAAATTCCCACAGCATGTTGAAAAAGTAGAGCCTTGGACCAGTTGCCGTAGCTCAGGACCATTTCCTGCTGCTCCGGGGTGCCTCTTTTTGACCCTGTCGGCACTTACGGTGTGCAGCAGCATCCTGTCCCCAGCGGGGGTGGATGTTCTGCAGACATAGGAGAGTGCTAGATTTGGTCCCTGCTCTCAAAGGGCCTGCAGTCTCTAGGTTGGACGTGAAGCTAGTGTGTGATGAGGGAGGATGGAAGAGGCAGCACTTCACAGCACGTAAAAGCATAAATAAATCCCAAGTGAAATCCCCTAGGTTCACACTCTCGGTTGCCATCACAAGGTGCAGCTTTACTTAGCCAAGTGACAGCCTCTCCACACCTTATTTTTCTCCTCATTCAGTGAGGGTGTTGTGCTTCCCCCCAAGTTGCCGAAAGGTATGAATGAACAATATACATCAAGCGTTTGGCACAGTCTGGCAATGGATTGAGTATTGAGTACTCAGAGGCATTAAATTGTTGCTATTCTGAAAAGACCACTAAGGCTTGGGATGATTGAGGCAAGATTACAGGAAGAGGATAGATTAGGATGGACGTGGGTAGAGAGAGGGAGGGGAGCATCGTGAGTGGCAGGCTGGATAGATGCAGGTGAAGGGTGGCTGGGCATGTGTCAGGCATTCAAGCACTGCAGTTAAAGCATAGAAGAAGTGCCAGCTGCTGGCCTCCTCTGGTCTGGTACACTTCACCCTTTTCCTTGATGTGCCCTCTCCCTGCCTCTCCCTACCTTCCCATCTCCACAGAATCCTTTCCCCATCCTGTGAGCCTTCTCATGCCCTGGGGCCCATATGAGTAACCCCAGTGCCTTAAACCCTCCCCCAATACCCCAGGATGGATCCTATTCCTGTTCCTTTAGCCTCCCCTACCCTGCGTCTAGGGTACAGATCACCTTTGTATAAGATCTTTGACTTTTTCATTTTTACTTTCTGACCCTGATATCCCTAAGGGCAAAGGCTGTCCTCTACCAGAGGGCCCTGTCTGGGAGAGGTGTCAGGAAATGTTTGTGAAATTGAATGCAGACTTCTTCTTTTTTATTTTAAAGAGAGTAGTACATGAGAAACAAACAAAAAAATAGAACAGTAGCAGCATACCAATATCACGAACATAAACAAATCAAAGCAAAAACATTCAAAGTGATACAAGCAGGGTCTCAAGACAAATTAATATAAATCAACAGTGGTTGTTACACTGCATATCGCTATCCTCAACTACATTGCTCAGATTATCAGATGTAAGAGTGAAAGATGAATGCAGACTTCTTGAAGAGACAGCTTGGTGCTCCTTGGCAAGGCCTATGACTACCCTTGACCTATGCCAAATAATCACCCAAGGTAGAGGTACAAAGAGGGGGATGCAAGTGGCCAGGAAGCTCTGTGTGTCCTTCCAGCTCTAGCATGCTAAGCGAGCAGCCTGAGAACATGGATGAGCCTCCCCACATGTACAACAAGGGCCTCCTCCTTTCACTGTCTGGAATTGAGACTGCCGGTGCTGAAGGGGACAGCTCCTAAGGCGGCTTCACGAGCCAGTGATGGATGCACAGATTCTGCAGGCCCCTAGCAGCTCAGGCCAGGGGAGCTCGGCCTTCCTGAGCATCACAGTCAACCAAGGAGCTTCTTCTACACAGGGTCCCCAATCCTAGACTAAGTCACAGTCTAAGGAGGAGCACCTGTGTTCATATACATTAAAAGCTCCCAGAAACGCCTAAAGTGTAGAGCTAAAACCACTAAACTAGAAACACTGCTCTAACCCCTACACCAGTTTAAAGAGTGGTCTATAGAAGGAAAATCCTGGCCCTAACTTGCAGGAGCTCAAATATAATATTCTTTCTTCCAAAAATATTCATTAAAAGTCTATTATGTTATATAGGCTGTGTATTGGTCTGGATGTTTGCATACCAGTAAACAAAACAGACTGTGCCCTCTTCTAGCATGTATGTATTTCTCTGTATAAGCTTGATTTTAAATTTCGTTTTGAAAAATTTCAGGCCTCTAGAAAAGTTGCAAGAATAATAAAATGAGCATCCATCTACCCTCCATCTAAATGCACCAATTGTTAATATTTTGCCCCATTTCACATGTCCATATACTGCTAAATCTAAAAGCTTTTAATAATGTATCACACTTCCAAGGCTTCTTAGAAGGGACAGAAGGAGGGAGAAAAAGCAGAAATCTGGGAGAGGCCATCATGGAATGCAGAGCAGTGTTTGATTAAGTACCATACCTGTTTTCATATAAGAAAGATTTTCAAAGGACTTATCAGTGGGCTGAAAAATATGAGCAGCAATTTCATTAATTGGACTGAACAGCATTCCAGATCATTTGTTGAAGTATTAATAAGAAGAAATACACCTTCAAAGCTTGGCTATGCCTCCTTTTTCTCCCAGAGGGGGAGTAGAATGGCATTAATCCATATCACTTCTGTGCATAAATGCATGGAACAGGCACGCAGCAAAGTGAGGCCAGCAAAGTTGCATGACGGGTGCTTGGGCAAAGCCAAAGCTCCACCTGTGCCATAGGCTACCCACGCAGATCAGGTTGAGGAGTTCCTCTGGGGAAACTTTAATTTCCACATTGACCCACTCAGTAGTATTTACCACACACCTCCCTGGGAATATGCAGTGACTGCTGCTGTGCCCATCCCCCCATACCTCCCATCCTCACACTGTTCTGTCTCTCTGTCCCCTTGACCTCTTCAGCGCCACCTGTCCCAAGAAGAGTTCTACCAGGTCTTTGGCATGACCATCTCGGAGTTTGAGCGGCTGGCCCTCTGGAAAAGAAATGAGCTGAAGAAGCAAGCCCGGCTGTTCTAGGCAGAAGCTGTACATATAGATGCATTTATATAAAGACATATGGAAAATCTCTACCCTGAAGCGCAATATAATCCTCTTGTGTAACAGGATGCACTGCCTGCCATGAGACTTGCTTTTCTGTACTGTCAGGCAAGCCCACATCATCAGAGTATTTTTTATGCTCCTTCTCTTTTCTAAGTGCTGTGGGATCTGGGAAGTAATTTGAGGGGACTCTGCTTTTACTGGGGGTCCTTTTTATACTGAAACATCTGTCCTGACTTGAGTCCCCCAAGGTCCAACTTTCTCTCCCTAAAAAGGTGCCTGGAGAAGTCTCTCTACTCTCTGCTTCTTGGCCCTTTTCCAGGTCTCCAGGGCCGATGCTAACCATGCAGTTTCTGCACACTATTGGCCCCAGAGGGGCCCTCCCATGGGCAGATCCACAGCGATCTTCCTAAACCACTGAGCACCTTTGAGGGTTCATGAACAATTTTCTCTACACCCCCAGTCAGGAGCTCAGGGCTCTCTGGGGGTGATGCAGTTAGAAGTATGAGCCTCAAATCCATTCATCACACCAGTAGATGGAAGTGGATGGGGCCTTGGCCTCTCCTTAGCTCATCAACTCTCCCCCTTCTACCCTTAATCCTGACCTTTCCCGTATCCAGATCTAGGATTCATGGTAGGAATAAGAAAAAAGGCACTTCCCTTCCTTCCACCGCCTCTAGCTGGCCCCTTTGCCTGGCCTGGACTTCGAGAAGCAGAGGAAGAGAGGAGCTGGGTGTAGGAGGGAGAGCCCAGCACCTGGTAGGGGTAGATCAGCAGGACCTACTGGCCCTCCTCTTGCCCTCACTGCTCCAAGCACCTTCTGATCTGCCCCCTTTCTAGGAGAGGCTCATGACTGCAGCCTGTAATCTTCAGCCTTATTACAGTCTATGTGCCTGATGATCTACACACCACAGGGCTAACGTCCCCTCCACAGCTCCAACAAAACAACCAGACAGACAACTCTCACCTCTGCTACAGAATAGGCCACAGCCCAAAGAAAGTTCTTGGCCTATACCATGGTTTCTGGGCTGGCAGGACAACCATACTGAGCCCCCACCAATCCCTGATGTGAAGTTGGCCAGGTCTTCTGGGGAAAGCTTTCAGAGAGTGGCTGCTTACGAGATTACAAAATGAGTCACTGGCTAGCAGTGCTTGTGATCATCCTGGGCTGTGCCGGTGGCTGCTTTTTTGCCTTCCAGAACAGAAGTTGAACTTCTCCCACTCTCTCCCCAAACCTTCACCTCTGAGGTGGCAATGTTTGGTGGGGGCTGCTCCTTCTTGGAGGAGCCTTGAGTCAGACCATTTTGAGATCACAGAGGAGGGATAAAGAAGTAGAAGTAACAATTGTGACTCTCTAGAGGCTAATGACACTACCCAGCAAATGTAGAACTGACTTCTGCAAACCCTCACTGAGCACCTGCTGATGCTGAGCACCTGCTGAACACTGAGCACGGAAGGGGGAGGGGACACTGGGGTAAATCAGCAAGGGCCCGGGTCTCGGGGGCTTCGAAAGGCATGTACCCAAACATAATGGATGTAAGGCAGAAAGTGACAGGAGGAGGTGTGAGGGAGTTCTGTGACATGACCAAAAAGTCGTATGCCATTAGTGCAGACCAAGGAAAGCTTTCTGGAAGAGATCACATTGGAGCGAAATCAGGAAGATCTTTGTAAACTGGGAGGAAATTGAAAGTTGAAAGAATGATCAGGTGGAGGAACCAGAAGAGAAGTCTAATGCACTCTCATTTAAAATGTCAAGCCTCCTGCAAATTCTCTTTTGTGGCCAATGTCTTTCAACTTTCCTGACCCATTAGAAATGTCCCCAGCCAGAAGCAATCATTGAAACTGCCTCATGATCACTGGTTAACAACTTGCAAGATGCAAGGGCTTTTGTTATTGTTGTTGAATATTTTTTGTTTCCCATAAAGCACATCATTTCAACCCAAACCTGTGTCCTTCTGTTGTTTCTAGTGTGAATGGAAATGACTGGTAGGGGAAGAGACTAAACCATGCACAGTTTTCAAAATAAGAGAAGCTAAAGAGCAGCCATTCCTTTGGCTGTGGTTTCTCTTCTGTAAAATAGAGACAGTTGATGGGGCCAACATTACCCAGATTGTTTTCTGCAAAATACAGTTTCCTCGAGACAGCAGAGAATGTCCCAGTGACAAATAAGGTTCTGCAATCAAAAATAATAACAAGCACCAACAGTGGGCCAAGGTCTATGCTGAGAACTTTCCATACATCATCTTATTTAAGCTTCTTTCGCAACCTAAGAGGTGGCCAGGCCTAACATCTCCATCTCACAGACAGGAAACAGCTTAGAAAAAGAGGCTTCATTACATAATCGTCGCCAGTACAGCTGCCAGTCAATCTCAGCCTGATTGGAAGGCCCAGCTTATCACTCTTATCAGGCAAGACCCTTTCCACTGGGAGTAGGAGGCAACTTATTAAACATGGGGGGCTGGGGATTTAGCTCAGCGGCAGAAGCGCCTGCCTGGCAAGCGCAAGGTCGTGAGTTCGGTTCCCGGTACCGGAGAAAAACCAAAAAAAAAAAAAAATAAAAAATAAACATGGCTTACATGATGAGAACACATGTTGCCTTGCACAATCAGAGGCCAAGATGCAAGGTTAGTACAATTCAGCAGCAGAGCTCAGGGTCTTTGCTCCTCTTTATTCCACTGCCCTTGGTATTTTGGCTTCTGCTCTGTGCCACGACATTGCCACATGTCCCTAGATTGTTTTCTGCTGAACACAGTTTCCTGTATTCCTGAAGCAAGAGGCTGCTATGGCTCCCAGTGTCACATCCTCACAACCACATCAGAAGATGGGAAAGAATTTTCTTTTCCATGTCTAGTTTAATCAGGAAGTTCTTGGTACATTTCTGCTCAGATACCTCTGGCCAGAGCTAGGATGTACGCTTTTGCCCTTACTGCAGTGAAGGCTGGGAAAGTGGGTGCTTAGCATTTTCAGTCTCCATTGTGCGAGGCAGGCCCGCTACCACAAGGTGAGAAAAGAAAAGGCACAAAGGGGGATGATTTCTGAGTAAGTGAATCTCAGAGTCTCTGCCACAGCCACTGTGTCATTAAAGAACACATCGTGTTCATTGCCTTGTAGCCTTACAATGTGCGTTGCCAAAAGACCTTCAAGTCTTTGGTACCTTCCAGTCTTTCTTTTTTTTTTTTTGGTTTTTCTCCGGTACCGGGAACCGAACTCACGACCTTGCACTTGCCAGGCAGGCGCTTTTGCCGCTGAGCTAAATCCCCAGCCCCCACCTTCCAGTCTTTCATAAACTAATTCAACACAAACTTTGCGTAACAAATGTTCAACTTAGTGTATTTTATCTATTCTTAGGTGCACACTTTGCCCTTTCTTGTGCATATCACCCCTTGCACACTGCAGGGCAACTTTACATTAATGAAACAGAACACAACTTTGGGAGCTGTAGAGCCACAGAAGGTGAGAGCTTCAAACCTTTGCAGGTTGTAAGGCCAGCTGAGCATCTGAGCAGATCAAGTAAGGAGCCAGCTCTGTTGCATCAGGCTCCATGCACCTCCAGCAGGTGCCAGAAGCAGCGCCCTGGAATTGGCTGGGCAAAGTGTCTGGTTGCAGCCGGCTGCTGAGGAGAGCCGCATGTGGGATAGGAGAGAAGCTATTCACCACAGCTGGCAAAATTCAAAGGGAAAAAGCACTAAAGCTAATGGCAGGTGGGCATGGTGGCCCATGCCTGTAATCCCAGCACTTGGGAGGCTGAGGCATGAGTTCAAGGCCACCCTGAGCTATACACCAAGTTCAAAGACAGCCTGAGCTGCCCAGAAGACCCGTTCTCGTAAAATCAAATAAGTAAATAAATGAACAATGAAGTCTTAAGTGTATCATTCTTCATTACTCAGCATTCGTGGTGAAAACCTTGACCTGTTTGTACATGTAGGTATAAGTTGCTGCCGGGCCATTCAGAAGCCCTGGAGTGGGACTGTAAATAAACAAGAGTTCTCCTGCCTCTTTACTTGCCCTAGTCCAGTGTGATTGGCACAGGGACACAGTACAAAGGACACCAGAGAACAGCAGCTATGGCCGGGCGTAGTGCCCAGGGCCAATGACAGCCATGTGTGCAGATAAATCAGGTTGAAAAACAGTGTGACATCTGTGCCCAAGACCCACAGTGTGTCCCTGTCAGGGAAGCTCTCCCATCAACCTTCACCCTTGTCATCGTTATTTATTTGCTTAATGTGATTTATAGAACATTGTCCTTTCAATCAGCTCACATGAGATGTTTCCATTTTAATATCAGTGAAATTAACAGTTTATTGGACTTGTTCTATGTTTTTATACAAATGTAAATAAATGTCATAACTCTCCAAAGATAGTGGCCTGCGTGACATCTGCACTCACCTCATATGGTCACCAGCAGTCTGACTACCACACTTTGAAAATCATTGTTTGGGTTGATGTAAGAGAGTGGAAGGAGGCAACTTATACCTCCTCCGCACCCTCATCGTGATCGGTCCTTGGAGACCCAAAGGGAAGTAAGCTGAAGATGCCGCAGAGAGAAGAAAGCTCAAGATTCTTTAATGGTCAAGGCCAATTAACCACAGGCTATGATGAAGGCCAAGACTCACACACCATTAGTTGGCTTCATAGAGTGTCCTATCTTTGCTAAGGTTTTGAGTCTGATATGGTCCCTTATCTCACCTGCTCTAAGCAGCCGTAAAGCCTTTGCCTCCATGTACACAGCCGTGAGCTGCGGGAGGAGCATTATAGTGCCATGGATAAAACACACTGCTAACTTTAGCCTGTTCACTAGCTGCATTGTTGCTCTGTCCCCATCTTCACCTACTGAAGCCCTAGTCCCCAGCATCTTAGGATGTGACTGTATTTGAAGACAGGACTTTTAAAGAGGTGATTGATTTGAGTCCATTAGAGAGGATTTTGTCTAATCTGACTGGTGTCTTTACAAGAGATTAGGACATGCAAAGAGACATCAGGAGCACACCTGCACAGAAATGATCATCCACAAGCCAAAGATGGTCTCCGAGGAAACTAACTCTACTGGCACCTTGGTCTTGGACTCCCAACCTCTAGAACTGTGACAAAATTAATTTCTGTTGCTTAAACCAGGTAGTCTGTGGTATCCTCTTATAGCACTCCTAGTGTCATTAGTTGGGGTCTGAGGAGGTCCTCCCAAAGAAGAGATGGAGACCTCAACACACACACACACACACACACACACACACACACACACACACGGCATATGTTTGCTGACTTCTGTCACAGAAAAGTATTTCAGCATAGATCAGCATGAGGTATGGGAAAGATTTTAAACACAGAATCAAAGATACAGAGAAAAGAGCATCGGCACTGGAGGAGTGGGGCACATTGCGGTCAAAGGCCGGGAGTACTGGTGTGCCTTTGAGGGCAGAAGTCTGGAATTTGTCAATCTATATTACTGGGGGAAATTATGGACGCCATTTATAGGAGAAAGGCAAGGGCTCATTTCACAGGATTATTGCATCTTTTTAAGACCAGGAATTTTGGAGTGAATAGCGTGGAAAGGAGAAAGAAGGCACTGTAACCTTGGGTGACTTCAATGGTGCCCTACCGCTGCTGTTTTCTTAAAAGTACAATTTTAAAATTCAAATTTTCCTTGCCTCCTTTCTACCTACTCTCATTTCTTGCATCCGACCTCACTAGCCAACTAACATAGAAGATGGAATAAGACTTGAGAAAAAGCAATAGCAGCATTTACATGAGAGAGCAGTGAGGACTGATGATGCATTCCTGGACTACAGTGAGCTACCTGGCTGCAGGGGAGGTTACTCATCTGCGGCTCCGCACCTCCCCCTGCGCTCGGATTAGGCAGTTTACCCAGACTATGAGCGCCCCCTTTATGTTACTTCCAGAACTGCAGGAGAGACATGCCTTTCTCACCTGGAATCTCCAGCTATCCGGGCAGTTGGGGTCTGGAGCTTCCTGGGCTTCTTTGCTATTGACTGGGAGAGACTACATGCAGTTGTAGACTAAACAAAAGAAGCGAGATCCTGGAGTTAGAAAGGAAGCAGAGACTTCTCTGCTTGTATTCCTGGAGAATTCTCTGCTTGTATTCTAATTCCAGAGACTTCTCTGCTTGTATTCCTGGATCTAAGTTTGCCTTAAAGCCAGCATCACCCTTTGGCTCCCCCATTATCCTCTTAGCAGATAAATTCCCCTTTCATTGAAGCCTGTTTGAGTTAATTCTGTCACTTGCCACCAGAGGAATTGCGACAAATACACCGACTCTCAGAATGAATTAATATTGACTGAAGAGTGTGGTACGAACACCTTCGCTGTCTGTGAGGGAGAGTGACCACCATCTAACAACGCAGACATCTGACACCCCATGGGAGCTTGTGGTGGGACGTGGGACTCACTAGGGAAGCCAAGCCAACACGTGTGAAGGACTAACAGCTTGCTTCAGTCAGTCCTTCAAAAGTGCTGCTAGGCCCGGATCAACAGCCTCTGGATTTCCAAAGCCTCCTTTTAGATAAGAAAAAACTACTGTCAGACAAAAGGAGTATACCTGCCTCCATCAAATACTGAGTCCTGCCCACCTGGATCAGGACAAGTTGTCCACGCAACCCAAGCAGTTTGTCCTTCTGATGAAACAGCAGCAGTATTTGGTTTTTTTTAAATGTGCGCAAAATATCCCTCCTAACACTCTGCAAGCAGAAGCACTAGAAGCCTGATAGCCCTCCCATCCAGGAGCACCCCAAGTTCCCACAGAAAAGGAGACTTGTAGTAGAACTGGTCATACACCCAGTGGTTTGATTTATATAAAACTCCCTGCAGGGGGCAGCCTGGGTATGTGGCCAGGATTTCAGGATTCCTTCATATTTCCTTAAGCACCTAACAACTTCTTCAGAGGAAACACACATTGATGACATAATAAGGAGCACTTCAGAGGGTGAGTCAAG